ATGCAGCTTTACATGCATACATTGCAAAGGATGTGCCTAAGCCCATGGGTAAATCTTGCAGTGTATACTCAAGCCTTATAGGCACACCCTGTACAAGGTCTCTGAAGACCCTGAAGGTAGACTCTTGCCCAGGGTTTCTCAGTCACCTGTGCTCAAGACCTAGTAAAAACTCTTTCACAGCCCTGTGGGCAAACCAGTTTAGAAGATGACCCAGTCTCTGCAGGAAGACCACTGCACAATGTCTTCCAAATGTCTACTGGCTTCACACCACTACCATGCCCTGCTCTGCTGTGCTTTGGCCCTGCTGTTGCTGTTGTTTAGCTCTATGGACCTCATCATTTGCACAATTGCCTTGAACTAGATTACAGTACTTGTTGCTTTGGCCCTACTGGCAGTTTTCAGTGTAATTATCTCAGTGTTACAGCCTTTGACTCACGTACAGCTCTTCATTGGGTGGGGCAGTTTCTTAGTGCAGGGTCTCATGTCTCAAAATGTGCTCATGTGTTCCTTTGCTTGCTCTCCAAAAACATTAGTTAGTGTGGCTATTTATATAGGAAAACCTTTGTCAGATTTAAGGAGAGATTAGCATAGCAGGATCATGACTTGACCAATTATTTAGACCAATCAGCTTAAGTTGATATTATATCAATTAGTTGATATCATATCATTTAGGCTGATAGGATCCACTTAGGCAATATGATCAATTATCTTAAGTGGATTGCTCGCCTACAGTGAGAAAGCCACATAAGGAACCCTTTGCACCTCAAAAGCTAGTAAGTGAGCAATTTCATTTACCAAACAACTAAATTAATGGGACTGTATTTAGCAAAAGAAGTGAAAATCTTGTACACTGTCAGCTATAAAAGATCACTGAAAGAAGTTTAAGAACACCTGAAAAATGTTTGGATATTCTGTGCTAATGAATAGGAAAACTTTATTATTAATATAGTAATTCTCCTCAATGCAATGTTGTTGTTGTTATTGTTGTAGTTGTCAGGTGCCATCAAGTTTGTACCAAGTCATAGCAACACCATGTACAACAGAACGGAGCACTGCCATTTCCTGTGCCATCCTCACGAGTGTTGCTAAGATTGTGCCCGTTACTGCAGCCCCTCTACCAATCCATCTCATTGAGGACCTCCCCCTTTTGTACTGACCCTCTACTTTACCCAGCATGATGTCCTTCTCTAGGGACTGGTCCCTTCTTACAACATGACCAAAATATGAGAGAAGATGTCTGGCCAGTCTCACTTCCAAAAAAACATTCTGCCTGTACTTCCTCCAAGGCAGATTTGTTCTCTCCTCTGGCAGTCCATGGCACCTTTAATACTCTTCACCAACACCATGATTCAAAAACATCAACTCTTCTGTGGTCTTCCTCATTCATTGTCCGGTCCTTGCATGCATATGAAAATCCTATGGGTAGGTCAGTGGCCCTTGCAGCAGATTTGCTCATCGCAGTATTTCACTTGATTTCTTAACCACAGCTTCCATAGACATTGATTGTGGATCCAAGCAAAATTAAATCCTTAACAACTTCAATCTTATCTCCATTTATAAAGGTGTTACTTATAGGTCCAGTTGTGAGGATTTTTGCTTTCTTGATGTTGTGATACAATCCATACTGAAGGTTGTAGTCTTTGATCTTCATCAATAAGTGCTTCAAGCCCTCTTCACTTTCAGCAATCAAGATTGTGTCATCTGCATGTCATAGGTTGTTAATGAGCTTTTCTCTGATCCTGACAGTGTGTTTTTCTGCATATAATTCAGCTTCTCTGGTTATTTGTTCAGAATATGTAATGAATGAGTATGGTGAAATGATACAACCCTGACACACACCATTCCTGATTTTAAACCATACAGTATTCCCTGGTTATTTTCCAACAGCTGCCCCTTGATGTATGTAAAGTTTCCTCAGGAACACAATTAACCACTCTGGAATCCCCATTCTTCACACTGTTACCCATAATTTGTTAAGATCCACACAGTTGAATGCCTTTGCATAGTTAATAAAATACAGGCAAATATCTTTCTGGTATTATTTTCTTTCACGCAAGATACATGTGACATCAGAAATGATATATCTCATCCCATGCCACCTTCTGAATCCAGCTGAATTTCTGCCAGTTTCCTGATCATGTACTGCTATAACCATTTTTTAATTATCTGCAGCAGAATTTTACTTGCATGCAATATTAATGATATAGTTCAATATTTTCTGCATTCTGTTGGATCACTTTTCATTAGAATGGCCACCTGTATGGACCTCTTCCAGTGGGATGGCCAGATAGCTGTCTTCAAAATTTCTTGGTATAAATAAGTGAGGGCCTCTAGCACTGCAACCATTTGTTGAAACATCTCGGTGGATATTTCATCAATTCTTGACTCTTGTTTTTTGCCAATTCATTCTGTGCTCTTTTCAATTCTAGTAATGTTAGCTTCATGCATTTGAAATTCTACTCTTACTTGTATACGCATTGCAAATTAAGTCTTATTGACCAGTTGAGTATTTGTCATGATGTAACTGCTCCCTTTATCCCTTGTAATATTCCCTTGTCTGATCTACTTCACTGGTCTAACCAGGGTGACATCTCTCTGGGATTCTAGTTCTGTACCTTGAAAATGTTATCTAACCTCAGAATCAGTATAGGTACAACTGATATGATCTACTTTTACAATGTTCTTCTTCTTCTTATATTTGTTTTCAATATGTTCATTTTAATCCTATGGAAGCTAACTCCCCAATATCTCTTACATTCTTTTATTTTCTCTGCAAATAGTCTTTCTTTGTGTATATTCTCTCTTTGACTTAATGAAGACCTTCAATGCTTTTTATAAAGTGTTTTCTGATGGATATAAAATATACTAGATAAAAGAGAAGGATAAGTCTTTTATATAACTTATTAAAATATCTAGTAGTGATACATCTGTAGCCTGGAAGCTTAAGATTGAATATGGTTATCATTTTTTGGAGCTATGAGGTCTTGACCAAATTTATGTGCCTCTGTTTCTCATATGAGAGAATAGTAGAATTACTTAATGAGGTTGCTGTGATGATTAATTACATAATATAATACATGGAAAACACTTATATAAATGTTCAGCACTTAATAAGCTGCATAAGAGTTCTAATGATTGATGCTAATTATTATTCATTCATTGACTCAGCATTCATTCAATAAATATTTCAGTGTAAACTATATTGTCCCAGGTACCATATTTTCCTTGGGGATTTAACTGTGAGGAAAGAGACACAATGGCTTCTTTTATGCAATCTATAGTGTCAGCATAGTGATACACCTAGATAGTAATCAGATTTTTAAAACAACAAATATTAATGTTAGGTTTCTGTAATATTTGTTATACTATGAACCAGTGTGTTAACCTATTATATATATATAAGGTCCATGGGGATAGGGAAGGTCAAACAATTCTTATTTGAGGGAAAGAAATTTGAACTGAGATATAAAGAGTGAAAAGTTATTAACTTGAGAATAAATATACCATTTTTCCATATGAACTTGAACAAACAAACAAGACATTAGACACTGTTTGTTTTCACAATATGGGTTCTACTTTATTAGGAGGAAAAAGAAAAAAAAAAAAAAACGGAGAGGATAACTGACTTTTCATGGCACGAATTCTTGTTTAACTTTATGGCCAGATTATTAACCAAGTATTTTTAGACATAATTGAATGCAATCTTGCTCCTTCAATTTGCCAAAAGAAGATTATATCTTTTCATTTGAAAGAGCATTAGACTGGCAAACCAGGGCACAACCTTGACTGTATCTTTGCCTTAACATCTTTGAATCTCTGATTTGTATAAAAAAAAATTTAAAAATATCTATCTAGGAATGTTTTAAAATTTCGGACTTTTGTGAAAGATGAATATTTAAGATTAGGTTTAAAAACAGAATTTTCCTTCTTTTTTGAAAATAATATCAATAGATTATAATCAGAAATTATTTAAATTACTTTAGCTTCAAAATAGGAGCTCTGGTAGCATAGTGCCTAAGGCACTTGACTGCTAATCAGAAGGCTGGTGGTTTAAACCCACCAGCCACTCCTCAGGAGGAAGGTTGGGCAATATATTTCCATAGTGATACCACCTCAGAAACCCAAGGAGGGGTCACTATGTGTTGAGTCCAACTCAATGACACCTAACAGCAACAACAACAATAGCTTCAAAATGTATGTTTTTTATAAGATGAAATTTCTGTATTACATCTCTGAAAAATAGTACTTTTAGAAGAATTTGTAGATTTAAACCACACTCTGCTCTCAAATATTTCCTGTTCCCAATAGAAATGTATCAATTCTCTTTGATATTTTATCAGAAGAGATTAGAAATTAAGGTTCTAAAATTGAATGATGTGCATTTCAAACTCACATTTACAGATTGGCTCTTACAGGAACATCATTTTGATTGTTAAGTTCTGATGATTTTGTTATGGTAGAATCACAAGATAACTACCATTGGTAGGAAGAAAGTAAATTTTATTGAATGAAACACATATATATATGGTGTTGAGCCAATCAGAGCAGAAGGCACATCCATAGGCCTAGAAGGATCTGAGTGTGGGAGGACATTCGCAGTTAGTAATCTTTGGGAGATCCTTCCCAGGGATTTCAAAATGGGAAATTGACTTTCAAATGTTTGCCAAAAGCTTCTGATAAACAATATGAGAATACCTGAAGTCATAGAGTTCTCAGGACATAAACATCACAGCAAGTAAAAATCAAGTTAAATAAATATTAGTCAAAGAAATATACATGCACCAATGAATTTTTAATATGGGTAAATTTAAAAATAACACTGTGGCATACAGATGATACGATATTTCTGTTGTAAAATTCTATTATGAAAGGTTGATTAATGCCTTATATGAGACTATTGCAGGATATGGAGATATTTTAGCAAGACACTTTCTTCTCTAGTTTCAAATTGTAGAAATACAGATTGACACCAAACATTTCTTTTTTTCAGTTTTACAATGCTAAAAATGCAGTCTATTTATGAACCGATTACTCTCAACCAGTTTTTTCATTGCTTCTTTCACATCCTTGTTTCTCAAGCTGTAGATGATGGGATTCAGCATGGGAATCACAATGGTGTAAAATACAGACGCGATCATGTCATGGTCCAAAGCATAGGTGGAATTTGGCCTCACATACATGAACAGGATTGTTCCATGGTAAATTGACACTCCAGTGAGGTGAGAGCCACAAGTGGAGAAAACTTTTCTCCTCCCATCAGCAGAACTCATCCTTAGAATGGCCAAGAAAATGAAACCATAGGAGATCAGAACAATCAGGATAGTGACTATTTCAATACCACCTATAACGTAGAAGAGTAGAAGCTGGTTGATGTGAGTGTCAGAACAGGAGAGAGCAAGGAGTGCAGGCATATCACAAAAGACATGTCTAATCTCATTAGATGCACAGAAGGAAAGGCTAAACGTTACTACAGTGTGTAAAGAACCATGCATGATACCAGCAACATAAGAAACAGTGATGAGTGACACATAGACTCTGGGGGTCATGTTAACTGAATAGAGCAGTGGGTTGTAGATTGCTAGGTAGCGATCATATGCCATGGCTGCCAAGAGGAAGCATTCCGTGGTCCCAAAAGTGACAAAGAACAGCATCTGTGTAGCACATCCCAGGAATGAAATGTCTTTATTCTCTGTCAGGAAATTGACCAACATTTTAGGGGTGACAACTGAAGAATAGCAGGCATCTAAGACAGATAATACACTCAGAAAATAGTACATGGGGTTGTGGAGTCTAGAATCTACCATCACTAATAAAACCAGTCCCAAATTTCCTACCAAAGTAAAAATATAGATTGCAAGAAATAGTAGAAAGAGGTAGACTTGCATCTCAAAATCATCTGTGAAGCCCAGCAATGTAAACGTGGTGACTTCAGTGACATTCTTCAACTGAATCCTGTGTGGATCCCGTCCTGATGACAACACTGGCATTTCAGTTAATATTCATAGGTCCTGAAAGCAAGTGGAGTCTTCGAATGGTGAAAATGGTCAATGTGTTTGCAGCTAATGGAAAGTCAATGATCCCATTCCATCCTGAAGCACCTCAGAAGATAAGACTGGCTACTATCAAGTGACTGCCATGGAAATTCATATGGATCACTGGTCAACATCAACACGCATGAGATCGTCTGGAGTTGGGATCAACTAAATGGCAACTGACAAATATAATATTCTGTGAAACAGGTCACACCCAATTACATCTTCATGTTTGTTTCTTAGAAGGACACAGTAATGTCCTAGGCAGTGAAGAGATAAGCAGTGATAAAGTTCTTGGGCACATATAGATGTAATTTCCTGTATAAATAAAGGAAAAAAATGCTTTCATTCATTCATTGGTTGAAATTTTTATATTAAAAACAAAGAAATAATCCTGCCAATTAATATTGTTCTCAAATTGCAACATTTTAAAACTCATAAAGAACAATAAATAGAGGATCTTCACACCCAAAAATATTATCCATGACAGTACACACTGGAGTTCACATCTTGCATTAACTACAGCAGGCAAGGATGCCTTTCCTTAACGTTCACGTGTATAAAGTGAGAACTGCTGCATGTATCTCTCAAGATTGGATTGAATTTTAATGACAAAAGCTTATTGAAAAGGATTTAATTTAAAAATCTTCTCAGAGGACTAGAACACTGATGTAGTTAGATTTACTTTTCAAGTTGTCTTAAAAGGTAGCTTCATTTATTCTCTACTTATGAACTATCTCTTTATCTGACATTTGGCATTTACAACAGTAAAGAAATGACTATCCAATTATTTTGTATTTTAACAACATACATCTGGAAGTACCAACATGTAAGGCAAGAGTAATGCTGCCAGTGATGATTTTATGTCAATTTTGCTGGGCCATGATTCTCAGTGGTTTAGCAGTTATGCAACACTATAATCTGGCAGTAATATAATTATGTAATCATTCTCCACCTTGGGATCTGATGTGGTCATCCTCCATTTTCACATGACATCAATTTCACGTGACGTCAATTTCACAGAAGGATCTGGCCTATGGAACTTAATTGATAATTGAGAAATATGTGTATTTCTGTGTAAACCTTTATGTATTTTATATAATCTTTCAGAAAACACATGCAAAACATCTTACAAAAGTTTCTATGGTGTTTGAATTATTTGAATGATCAATAGGATGAAATAATCAATAAATATTAACCCATACATTATTTGGGCATCGAAAAGATGCATTTCTGTTTTTAAAATTCTCCATTCTCTCTCTTTCTCTCTCCTTTCCACTCTTTTGTCTGTGTGTGTCTCTTTCAAGTATCCATGAAATACTTAACTCGCCAAAAGTCAGGGACAAAACAGAAACTAGGTAGGTAGAAAGAAGCCCAGTGGAAGGAATAAAATATGCAAGCAGATTTTGAAAAAAATGCCAATAGATAGCCTAATAAAGAAATTGAAAATCCACAGCAAAACATAACTTAACTAACATAAACAGAGAAACGTCAGCTAGACTGTGTCATTCTGTCATTTCATTGATGTGTATGAAACAAGACAACAATGGTGGGAAGTTAAGCGTATTATATTTACCTGGCAAACCTGCTATTAAAATATAAATAGCATCTAGTTCCAGTGTAAGCTTCAAACAGTAAAGCCATACTTCTGGTATCAAAGAACAGATAAGAACAACAGAATTTTTAAGACATAATTTGTTCAATTACATGAGCATGCTACTCATGACAGGGCTCATTTATGAAACATATTACAATAACTTATTAAGCTAATATTTGATTATAGGTGAAAAGTATATACTAGTTAAATATGATTTCTACATTTTATTTTTCTAAAACAAAATAGAAAAATTTAAAATCAATTCCTTCTTCAGCAAAGCATTGAACCAGGCATAATAAATTGAATGTTTTCCTTTTTATTTTTACAAATTGGTTATGTGACTCCAAACATATATTGAAATCCCATTCCATCGAAATTAAGTTTAAACAATTCTAATATTTTATGGGGCAATCTACTTCCATAGTGATACTGCCTCGGAAACCCAAGGAGGGGTCACTATGAGTCGTGTCCAACTAGACAGCACATAACAACAACAACAACAACAACAATATTCTATGATTAAAAGGGTATAATAATGCATCTTGGTAACTGCATTCTGCCTTAGGACTTGTCAGTAAAATAACAGTGTGTTTTGTTAAAAATCTCCTGATACACTTGACGATGTAATTTCCAGGTATCCTTGGTGGTCTGATATAGTCTATACAGCAAGAATATAATTTATAAACAAACTATATTTTATATCAAATTAGGTACCATTAGAGAGGTTAGTTATCCTCTTCACTAAAGAGGAATGGAGACTTAGTAAAGGAAAACGTATGGGGTTTAACCACTTTATCCAAGCTTCTTCAAACAGGCACTTCTGTTCACTAATCTTTAAGGAAATTAGAATTGTTTATTTTATGTCAGATTCAATACTTGATGGAAATGTTTAAGACACTCAGCTGCTAACTGAAAATGTTGAGGTTGAAGTTCTCTTAGACATACCTCAGAAGAAAGACCTGGCAACCTATTTCTGAAAAAGCAGCCATTGCAAAAACCCTGCAGAACATAGTTCCACCCAGAGTCCACTCCTGTACTGATGGTCTTTTCTATTTACAACAGGTTGATTTCACTTTAAGTCTAGAGAGGATAAAAGCACAAAAACATAGATCTTGATTTTTTTTTTTTAACAAAACACATACCATCTGGAATACTAAAAGATAATCAGGTCCTCAACTCTCATTCAGTCTCTAGTCAGAAAACGTAAAGTTCTAGATGTCCATGAGAATAGTACTACAAACAGTTGCATTGAGAAGAGAGAAAGCTATGACAGCAGCTACCACATATTATTAAGTGGATTCTAGGAATTAGGAATGTTGTGTACATTACTGTTCATAATCTATATTGAACACTGAAAACTAAACAATTCAGCATTCTTTATAGATAAATAAGGCCCAGTTAAACATGAAATTTATAAGGTTACATAGAAGTTGTTAGCATAGCAAGGAATCACCCCAGATTTCTTTGATTCCACAATCTAAGCTATTTCTACTGTAGAAATCAACTTGTGCTATATCTGGAATTATCATCCCCCGTGAAAGAAAGTTTGGACAATCTACTTCCTTAGTGATACCACATGGGAAACCAAAGGAGGGGTTGCTATGAGTTGGGTCGGACTCGGTGACACATAATAACAACATGGGTAATAGGATGAAAAGAATATTCTCATAAACTTGAATTGTGTTACATAGACATACAGCTTCTATGTTGTTGTTGTTGTTATGTGCCTTCGAGTTGGACCCAACTCATAGCGACCCCTCCTTGGGTTTCCAAGGCAGTATCACTGTGGAAGGAAGTAGATTGCCCCATCTTCCTTCCGACGAGTGGCTGGTGGGTTTGAACCACCAGCCTTCTGGTTAGCAGTCAAGTGCCTTAGGCATTATGCTACCAGAGCTCCTAAACGTGGGCTCATCTGGGATTTGAACCTGGGACCTCTCGTACCCAAAGCAAGAATCGTACCCCTAGACCAACGAGCCGCCTTAGGGCCAGATTCTATAGACCATGAAATTATATAGATATGTAAGTTTTTAGAGAAAAATATGTTCTAAATTAATTTATCACTCCATGAGAAAATAATTATGGTCCCAAAGTATCATATAAAATAAAATAAAACAATTATGGCCCCATAACCAAATGTTGTTTCAATACACATTTTCTCTCCATATAATAATTTCTCTGATTTTAAGTATAGACATTTAATTCTGATGCTCCTATTCTGATTAGCATCCATCAAGTAACTTGAAGCAAATTTCTAATTTACACATTTACGGTACTATATATGTGTCTGCTCCTGTTTTCTTTCCTATGTTCTAAAGAATTATTCAAATTTTAATACAGGTCTTAATGAACTAGAATAACCTAATTCAAATTTAAGTATCAAGGCAAATATTCTAGTTGGAAAGTCAAGGTTCAAGTTTCTAAAATATTTAGGAAGCAGTGAAAAATGTCCCTCTTACCTGTGGACTGAACTGGTCACTCTATTCAAGTACACTATAATTACATTTGGATTCTTATACCAACCTCTTGATTTCTTCTTGAGTACACAGGGGAAGAATCCAGGACACTCTTCTGGGACAGAAAAACATTTTTTTTTTTTTACTGCAGTAACAAGAGAATGGTGCTGGAACAATGAACTACTTAATAAAAATAAATAAGTGAATCAATCTGGCCTCTGGAAAACTGTTTCCTCAACGGAAAAGTTTATGGTATAATTATGGAAAATTAATAATACAGAACATATTGCTAATGAGAAATGTGTCAATGGTTAATAAATTTTGTGAAGTCCAACTTCCTACTTCTAGGAGTACAAACTGCTCAATTCTCTCAAAATCTTATAAGCATGTATATACTTAAATAATATGAAAGTATACCATAAGTCATAATTTGTGATTGTTTAATAAAAACAAATGTACTTCTCATCTGAATTATAATGTTCTAGATTTAGTACCTAAGGCATTTTGACTGCTAATGAGAAGGCTGGAGGTTCAAACCCATCAGCCACTCCTCAGAAGGAAGATTGGACAATCTACTTTCGTAGTGATACTGTC